ATCTGAATTCATTTTCGGATTCAACATAGGGTCATGCCTCGACTACAAAATTTCATTCACTCTCGGCCTCAAGATCCCGAGAAAATAGCACAAATTGTTCAAAATAAAAATTTGTCTGAAGTTTTGATGCAATTACCAGAAAGGTCACTTTGCAGCTAGATTGGGCCAGTAGTTTCCGAGTTTGAAGCAAAAATAAAAAAATGACGGAAATTTTGATGAATGTTGGACCTAGGAACATTACTAGATCAAAATTTCATATTTATTTTTTTGTTTGCTTTAATTTTGGAAATTACTGGCTGGATGTGGCTGGAAACACACCTTTCTGGTAGAGTCCCACGCTGAGTCCTAAAATGAACTCAGAATGGACCTGGGACCAATATTTCATCAAAATTCCCGACAATTTTTTATTTTGAGTAATTTATGCTATTTTCTCGCGATCTTGAGGTCGAGGGTAACTAAAATTTTGTATTCCAAACTTAACCCTATGCTAAATCCGATAATTAGTTTAGAATTGAGCTAGGTCCAATATTTCATCCAAATTTCTGAAAGAAATTTCGTACCGATTTTATCACGAAATTTCATTTTTCGTATGATTTCTTCACAATTTAGAGGTTCTTGTCTAGGCTAGTAAGTTTTTAAATTAGTCTAGACAAGAACCATCATTGTGGTAAAAATTGGTTCAAAATTTATTTTTCAGATGTTTTGATGAAATATTGGACCTAGTTTAATTCTGAAACCATTTTCGGATTCAGTATAAATTCTAAGCCCAAATTTGATATTTCAGTAGTTCTCGTCCTCAAAAGCCCGTAATAATAGCATTAATTGTTTAAAATGTAAAATTGTTGGGAATTTTGATGAAATATTGCTCCTATGTCCATTCTGAGTCCATTTTCGGATTCAGCATGTGAATTTACCAGAAAATTCACTTTCCAGCCAGATTGGGCCAGTAGTTTCAGAGTTTGTAGCAATAATAAAAAAAAAAATCAGAAATTTTGATGAATGTTGGACCTAGAAACATTACTACATCAAAATTTCATATTTATTTTTTTCGTTTGCTTTAATCTCGGAAACTACTGGTGGGATACTTACCTTACTGGTAACTTCCGAAAATGGATTCAGAATGGACCTAGTACCAATATTTCATTAAAAATCCCATCATTTTTTTATTTTTAACATTTTGTTCCATTATTTCGGGATTTGAGAAGAAGAACTACTGAAAATTCAAATTTTGGGATTAGAATTTCTAATGAATCCGAAAATGGTTTAGAATTGAACTAAGTTCAATATTTCATTAAAACTTCTGAAAAATATATTTAGAACCAATTTTACCATGAAATTCCATTTTGTCGCATAGTTTTCCAAGACTCTAATCAATCTGCTGTTTAGACTATAGTCAATCTATAGTTAGCATTATAAATTGTCTGGACTATAGCCGAAGTATAGGTTGGACTATACTCAATCTGTAGCCTACAAATTTTCGTTGTGATCAAAGTAATTTTGGTCTTTTTTAATATACATAACTTTTATCTCAAATTAAGTGCTTGACTTTTATTATTGGTATTAAATACATTAATACAAAATTAATATTCATGTCAAACGAATATTATTTGTATTGATAACAATACATTTGTCAAACACATATGTTATTTATTTATTTATTTAATTAAATAAATAACAAATACTTATGTTTAATCATAGAAAAGTATAACAAAAATCCCAATATAATCAGCCCATAAATAGAAAATATTATAATTTATAAATGAATTTTTTTTTTCATACATGCAAAAATGTACAGAAAAAAAGGAAAGAATAGATTTATAAATTAAATAACAAAAAAATAAAAATAAACATGTATTCAACCCATATTTAGTTTAATAATACTACTAAATTACTAAAAGGTATTTATAACTGAAAACTAGATCATAGATCATGTAGGTGCTTGAAAAAACAAATGATGAAAATGATACATATTACAGAAATTGCTGCGGCAACGAATGTGGCTGTTGAATGGATTGAGTACGCAATTTTCAAATTAAATGCATGCAACACAAAGTGCAGCAAGCTCTTTTGTCAAATTTAATTGAACAACAAAAATAAAATCAGAGAAAAACAAAAAAAAAAAAAAAAATGTAACAGATGCATGCATGATATATCATCAGTACGTGCAAGTTGCAAATATATATTTATTCTATATTTTTTCCACTTATTTTTTTATTTTATTTAAAAAGTGTGATAATAGAACATGAATTTTTAATGGGTATAAATAATGTAACGTAACGACATGTACTCGTATTATTATGTATTTGGTATTGCTACTTTAAACGATAAAAATTAATACAAGGACGAAGTTTTTTTTTTGTTTGTTTGCTTGTAAACTATTCATAGAATTAAGGTTATCGAATTAGAGAGAGAGAGAGAGATTTATGCAAATTGTTTATAATGGGAATAAACAGGGACAAATTATTGTATTAGAAATAAGCAAAGCATATTTTGAAATTGTTGTAGCTAATTAATATAAATTCAAATAATTTTTTATTACAGGTTCCTGTTCACAATATAGCGGAGACTATAGTCTGTCTATATTTCGACTGTAGTCTGAACAATATTGTAAGTCCATAGTACAGACTAGAGTCAGTCTATAGACCAGACTATATCCAGTCTATAGTCCCGAGTATATTCAATCTATAGTCCAGACTGTAGTCAATCTATAGTCCAGACTGTAGTCAATCTATAGTCCAGTCTTTAGTTCAGACTATACTCTGTCTATAGTCCAGACTATAGTATATCTATAGTCCAGACTATAATCTATCTATAGTACATCTATATTCCAGACTATAGTATATCTATAGTCCAGACTATAGTCTATCTATAGTCCAGTCTATATAGTCGAAGCTATAGTCAGTTTATAGTCCAGAGTATATTTTAGACTATAGTATATTTAGTCTAAACTATAGTCTTGTCCAGACTATAGTCAGTCTATAGCCCAGACTATAGCCAGTCTATAGTAAAGACAATAGTCATTCTATAGTCCAGACTACAGTCAGTCTATAGTCCAGACTATAGTAAGACGATACTCCAGACTATAGTCCACACTGTAATCAGTCTATAGTCCAGAATATAGTGCAGACTATAGTCCAGACTATAGTCAGTCTATAGTCCAGACTATAGCTATTCTATAGTCCAGACTATAGTAAGTCTATAGTCCAGACTATAGTAAGTCTATAGTCCAGACTATAGTAAGTCTATAGTCCAGACTATAGTAAGTCTATAGTCCAGACTATAGTCAGTCTATAGTCCAGACTATAGTCAGTCTATAGTCCAGACTATTGTCAGTCTATAGTCCAGACTATAGTAAGTCTATAGTCCAGACTATTGTCAGTCTATAGTCCAGACTATAGTCAATCTATAGTCCAGACTATAGTCAATCTATAGTCCAGACTATAGTAAGTCTATAGTCCAGACTATGGTCAGTCTATAGTCCAGACTACAGTCAGTCTATAGTACAGACTATAGTCAGTCAATAGTACAGACTATAGTCAGTCTATAGTTTAGACTATAGTCAGTCTAAAGTTCAGACTATAGTCAGTCTATAGTTCAGACTATGGTCAGTCTATATTCCAGACAGTTCAGACTATAGTCAGTCTATTTTCCAGACTATATTTTGTCAAGAGTCCAAACTATAGTTAGTCTATAGTCCAGACTATATTCAGTATATAGTCCAGACTATATTCAGTATATAGTCCAGACTATAGTCAGTCTATAGTCCAGAGTTTTTATTAAAGTCCAGACTATAGTAAGTCTATAGTCCAGACTATAGTCAGTCTATAGTCCAGACTATTGTCAGTCTATAGTCCAGACTATAGTCAGTCTATAGTCCAGACTATAGTAAGTCTATAGTCCAGACTATTGTCAGTCTATAGTCCAGACTATTGTCAGTCTATAGTCCAGACTATTGTCAGTCTATAGTCCAGACTATAGTCAGTCTATAGTCCAGACTATAGTCAATCTATAGTCCAGACTATAGTAAGTCTATAGTCCAGACTATGGTCAGTCTATAGTCCAGACTACAGTCAGTCTATAGTACAGACTATAGTCAGTATATAGTTCAGACTATAGTCCGCACTAACTATAGTCCAGACTATATTCCAGACTATAGTCAGTCTATAGTCCAGACTATAGTCAGTCTATAGTCCAGACTATAGTCAATCTATAGTCCAGACTATAGTTAGTCTATGGTCCAGACTATATTCAGTATATAGTCCAGACTATAGTTAGTCTATGGTCCAGACTATATTCAGTATATAGTCCAGACTATATTCAGTATATAGTCCAGACTATATTCAGTATATAGTCCAGACTATATTCAGTATATAGTCCAGACTATATTCAGTATATAGTCCAGACTATATTCAGTATAGTCCAGACTATAGTCAGTCTATAGTCCAGACTATAGTCCAGACTATAGTCAGTCTATAGTCCAGACTATAGTCCAGACTATAGTCAGTCTATAGTCCAGACTATAGTCAGTCTATAGTCCAGACTAAAGTCAGTCTATAGTCCAGACTATGGTCAGTCTATAGTGCAGGCTATAGTCAGGCTATAGTCCAGACTATGGTCAGTCTATAGTCCAGACTATGGTCAGTCTATAGTCCAGACTATGGTCAGTCTATAGTCCAGAGTATGGTCAGTCTATAGTCCAGACTATGGTCAGTCTATAGTTCAGACTGTGGTCAGTTTTTATTTAATATATAATCTCAATATTTGGATTTTAAGGGTCTTGATAATTTTGAACTAGTGAAAAGAGACAGTAAGGCGAATTTGTAAATTTGTGATTAATAAAGTGAAAATTTTGAAAGTGAGCTTTTTGGACATGAGTTAGGATATAGTTGAGCGGGTGATAGCGATTAAGTCTTAAGGTGACGATAGTTGGTGGTGTTAGTAGTGACTCTTTAGATTATGTTTAAAATATTTATGTTAATTACAAAAAAAGGTAAATTTGCCTTATATGTTTGATGATGTTGTTGTTGTTCTTGAACTTGTTGTGATGACAGTTTATCACTATTGTTGTTGTTGTTGTTCTTAGACTGTTTAGTTTTCTGTAATAGTTCAGTGGAGGAGGTTCTAGCTGTAACCCTGGAGGATGATGAGGCGGAGGAGGCCACTGTTGATGAAGGGGTTGAAGGTTTGGTTTTTGTTGTTGATGTAGTGGTTATTGTTGTTGTAGTAGTAGAAGACGATGTAGATGAAGTTATTAAAGTGTTATTTAAATCCTTTAAAATGGATGAATTAGATGACAATAATGATGATGAGGATATTTGTGGTTTTTGTTGTTGCTTTAAAGCTAAAGAGGATTTTTTTGATATGGCTCGTTTGGAGGTTGATGATGACGATGATGATGAAGAAGAAGAAGATAGCAATGACATGGGTGACCATAAAAATAAATTCATTTTCTTAAATAGTTTGGTAGTATGACTTGGTAATGATAATAATGATAATGCTGTTAACGAAGAGGAAGATGTTGATTTTGATGTTAATGATGTTGTATTGAAAGCTGGTAATTTTACAGCATTTACAGATGTATTCTTCGAATTCAATGACGTTGATGTTATTGTTGATGATGAAGAAGTGGAGATGTTGGTGGAGTTTAAGGAGTAAAAAGTATAACTACCACCAATTCCATTAGTGTTCTCTTTATCAATTGATTTATCTTTATGCTGTTAGGGGTTTTTTTTTATAAATTACAAATAATTTATATTTTTTTTTTGCATTTATTTGATGTTTTTTTTTATTTAAAAAAAGGGAAAAAAGAGAAGAGGAAAGAAACAAAATTTGCAAAAAAAAGAAGAAATATTTGAACAATTACAATACAATACCATCAGTATCACTCAATGTATGATAAAAAAAAAATAGGAAACGTATATAGTAGCTGAGCAGTTAAAGGGTGTGTTAAGCGGAGGTTCACATATCATGTTCGAAAATTCAAAAAAAAAATTTCGAAATTCTTGAAACAACTAAAAATGATTTTGTAAACTCCATATTTTATTTTAATAAAATTATTTCTTAATTTCCAGCATTTTTCAGAATTTCGAAATTAAAAATTTTGAATTTTCGAAAATTCGAAATTTTTAATTTCTTAGAAAAATTTATGAAAATTTAAATTTTATTAATTTTTTGACTTATTTAGTGTAAAATATTCATATTAAGGTTATTTTCGCTCATATTTTTGCTCATTTAAGATAATTTCGAAATTTTCGAACTTAAGTTCGAATTTTCGAACATCCCAAAAAAAAGTTCTTTTTTTCACCTTGAAAGTATAAAAACACTTTAAAACCCGATTTTGCCACTTTTTTGATTTAGTTTACATAATTTTAAAATTTTCGAACTTAAGTTCGAAAATTTCGAAATTAGCTATAATAAAAAAAAAATATGAAAAACCTCTTAATTCATAGTTATATTATTAAAAATGATCAAATTAACTTTTTTTGGCATGTTCGAAAATTCGAACTTAAGTTCGAAAATTTTAGAATTATGTAAACTCAATCAAAAAAGTGGCAAAATCGGGTTTTAAAGTGTTTTTATACTTTCAAGGTGAAAAAAAGAACTTTTTTTGGGATGTTCGAAAATTCGAACTTAAGTTCGAAAATTTCGAAATTATCTTAAATGAGCAAAAAGTGGCAAAATAGGGTTTTAAAGTATTTTTATACTTTCATTGTGATTTTTATACACATTTTCAAACAACTTTGGAAAGTTTAGAAATTCGAAATTAAGATTTTGAAATTCGAACTTAAGTTCGAAAATTTCGTAATTATGTAAAATGATTAAGAAAAAGTGGCAAAATCGGGTTTAAAAGTGTTTTTATACTTTCAAGGCGATTTTTATACACATTTTCGAAAGTTTTGAAATTCGAAATAAAGATTTTGAAATTCGAATTTAAGTTCGAAAATTTCGAAATTATGTAAAGAGTTTTTATACTTTAAGAATGATTTTTACAAAAAAAATTTAAAAAATTTTGAAATTCGAAATTAATTTTTAAAAAAGATTTTAAAATTCAAAATTAAATATTTTTATGGAAATTATCTTAAATGTGCAAAAAATAATTAGAATTGTTATGATATTGTTTTAGTTGGAAATTTAATTTTATTAAAAAATTTGGAAAATTTTGAAATTTTAAAAAATATTTTGAAATTTTTTTAAAAAATTTGGAAATTTGAAAAAAATGTTATATTCAAAATTGGATTTTCTTAAGTAAATTTATAAAAAATAAGAATTTTACTTAAAAATCGAAAAATTAAACTTTTTTAGGAAAGTTCGAAACTTTCGAACTTAAGTTCGAAACTTTCGAAATTATGCAAAATGTCCAAAAAATAGGTAAAATAGTGTTTTATAGTGTTCTTTTAGTTTGAAATTGAGTTTTATAAAATTTTTTAAAATTGTTGTTGAAAATTTCGAAATTCGAAAAATGATTTTGAAATTCGAAATTGAATTTGCTTTAATAAAACAGTGAAATATTAACTTATTATTAATAATTTTGCTTAGAACTTTCAAAATATGATGTTTTGGCACATGTTCGAAAATTCGAACTTAAGTTCGAAAATTTCGAAATTATGAAAAATGAAAAAAATTTCATAGCAAAAGTGTTTTAATGCATTTTTAGCTTTACTTTGATTAAATTTAATCATTTTTTAACATGTTCGAAAATTCGAACTTAAGTTCGAAATTACGTTTTATTGCTAAAATGCTAATTTCATAAAATTTTCTTCACATTTTTGTTGAAAAATTACTTAGTAATTAGTTATTTTGCTTATATCTTTCAAAATATGATGTTTTAGGGCATGTTCGAAAATTCGTACTTAAGTTCGAAAAATTCGAAATTATGAAAAATGAAGAAAATTTCATAGCAAAAGTGTTTTAGTGCCTTTTTAGCTTTACTTTGATTAAATTTAAACATTTTTTAACATGTTCGAAAATTCGAACTTAAGTTCGAAATTACGTTTTATTGCTAAAATTCTAATTTCATAAAATTTTCTTCATATTTTTGTTGAAAAATTACTTAGAAATTAGTTATTTTGCTTATATCTTTCAAAATATGATATTTTACGCAATGTTCGAAAATTCGAACTTAAGTTCAAAAATTTCGAAATCATGAAAAGTGTGGAAAATTTCATAGTAAAAGTGTTTTAATGCCTTTTTATCTCTACTTTGATTAAATTTCAACATTTCTTAACATGTTCGAAAATTCGAACTTAATTTTTGAACTAAAAATGGTAGTTTTCAATTGTCTATAGCCTAAATGTTAGTTTCAAATAACTTTCATCACTTTTTTAGACAATTTTCAACACCCTTTAACTTTTTTTTTCATCTGCCTTGTCTACAAAAATATCTCTAGAATAATGTATGTATTTTAAAGAAGGAAAGGAATGTTAAAATAAAAAAGTAGTAAGAATAGTAGTTACATTTTGTAGTAATATGTAATGTTGTTGCTATTGCAGCAACTACTACTACAAGTACTTATACTTACTTACACTTCTACTACTAACTTGTTAAAGAAAAAAAAAAAATAGTCTATAGATTCACAATTCAATATTTAGAAATAAAATATTCGAATAAGAATCTCTGGGTATATGAAATACTATAAATTTCAAATACACCAAACGTTACACTATCAAATAGGTGAGTAGTAGTGAGTACCCTAGTATAAGTCTAAGTATAAGTATGTATTTTAAATGACTAAATGTTGCGGTACACATTGTGATAGTGTGCTATTTGCTTTTGGTATGTGTGTGTATTGGAGTGTATGTAAATAATTTTTATTGAATACGTAATTTAAATATAATGATGCTATAAAATATAATTTAATACTTTTTTTCTTTTCCTTTTGGTTTTCTTTCATTCATTCACTACATTTTTTTTTATTTATTTTCTTATTTCTTTCATTTTTCACTTCATCTCATTTGTGGGTGATATAGTATTTGGCAAAAAGTACTACAATATAACTTTTCAAAAGAGGAATAAAGGGGAAGAGGGATAAGGAAAGAGTATTACTTCAAAATAAAAGGAAAAATATTTTTTTGTATGAAGGCAAAAATTCGCCCTCAAGGAAGAACATGTTGAGAAATGTTTAGAAAGTTGTATGGAAACAGTAAAATAAAATACATTTAAAGATTTTCTTTTTGTAAATTAATACCATTTGACAAAAGCTTTAAGTTTAAAATTAAGTAAGCAAAAATTCTATAAAGAAAATATATTATAGTCTAAGGTAGAAATTAAAGACGCGGTATAGCCAATCGGTAGTCTGGAATATAGTCTGTCTATGTTCAGACTATAGTTAATCTTTAGTTTATAATATAGTCTGCAAATAGTGCAGAATGTAGTTAGTCTACAGTATAGACAAAAGTTAGTCTACAGTCCAGACTATAGTCCGATTATAGTCCAGATTATAAACCGAACAGTCAGTATAAAGCCCAGATTATAAACCAGACTCTAGACAGTCTATAGGCCAGACTTTAGTCAGTCAATAGTCCAGACTTTATTCAGTCTGTAGACCAGACTATAGTTGATCCATAGACCAGACCATTCAGTCTATAGACCAGACTATAGTCAGTATATAGTAAAAAATATAAAGACCAGACTATACTGCAGATTATAGACGAGACTACAGTCCATATTATAGTCAGTCTGTAGTCCAGACTATAGTCAGTCTATAGTCCAGGCCATACTCAGTCTATAGTCCAGATTATAGTCAGTCTAAAGTGCAGATTATAGTTAATATATAGTCACAATTATCGAGACTATGGTCAGTCTAAAGTACAGATAAAACTATAATACAGACTATTGTCCATGGTATAGTCAGACTATAATGCAGACCACAGTCAGTCTATAGTCCAATCTATAGTTAGCATATAATCCTGATTATAGTCTAGGGTATGGTCAGTATATAGACCAGCCAATATTCAGTCTATAGTCCGTTGTAAGTCCAGATTATAGAGAATCTATAGACCAGACTATAGTCAGACTAAAGTCCAGATTATAGTAAGTCTATAGTCCAGATAATAGTCATTCTATTGCCCAGACGATAGTCAGTCTATAGTACAGACTAAAGTCAATCTATAGTATAGATTATAGTCAGTCTATAGTCCAGTCTACAGTCAGTCTATAGTCCACACTATAGTTAGCGTATAGTCCAGCCTATATTCAGTCAATATATTGTCCAGACGATAGTCAGTCTATAGTCCAGACTAATGTCAGTCTATAATCCTTCTATAGTCCAGACTATAGTCCGTGTATAGTCCTGCCTATATTCAGTCTATAATTTAGCATATAGACAATCTATGGACCAAACTATAGTCCAGATTATAGTCAGTTAGTCTATAATCCTGACTATAGTCCTGGATATGGTCAGTATATAGTCCAGCCTATATTCAGTCTATAGCCCAGATAATAATAGTCAGTAGTAAGTACAGATAATAGAGAATCTATAGACCAGACTATAGTCAGACTGAAGTCCAGACTATAGTCTGTCTATAGTCCAGCCTATATTCAGTCTACAGTCCAGAATATAGTAAGTCTAAAGTCCAGATAATATTCAATCTATAGACCAGACTATAGTCTGGACTTCAGTCTGAATATTTTCAATCTATAGTCCTGACTATAGTAAGTCTAAAGTCCAGATAATTGTAATTATAGTCACTATTTAGTTCTGATTATAGTCAGTCTG